GGAGTTTCTGGCTGCCAAAATTTTTAACCATAAAATGAAGTTATAAGATTTTGCTAACACTTTAGTACAACACAAACAGAACACTTATAACTCACTCTTGGCAGCTCCAGCTAATTAAACTTTCAGATCACACTAATCAATTTACAAACACAATGTCTTCAGAATGCATCTTCTGCTATGTAGGATTAACTTTCATTTCAGTATCAAAAGCTCACCCAAAGGCTATTTAGGAGACATCTCTGTCACTCCCTCATCTCTCTAAAATAGATATGGTGGGACTCCCTTTTCCCACCAACAAATGCCCATATATAGAATTGACCGCCTTCCTTTCCGTATGTTAAAGACATTCTGAGGCTTAGAACAGGAGGAACTCTCACTGAGCATTGTGTACAATGAACAGTACATAAATAATGTCTTTGGGGGGTGGTAATGGTCTGTAATTATTATCAGCAAAATACTGCAAAAACCCCTTCAAAGGAGGCTGAAGATAATGCCACTGTTGCATAGCCTCTGCTGGTTCAACCTTGCCAGAGGCTACGGCTGAGAATGCTTGCCACATTCAATACAGTGAGAATGCTCTCATGAGGGCACCACTTCTGCACTTATCCAAAGAGCCATTTCTTTGAAAATATTGATCAAATGTGCTTGCTACTGGCGGCTGAGTGCTGCAATGAATGCTCCTAAATAAGATCCAGAGAAAGGATGCGGGTGGCTGCGCTGGCTGTAAGTTCAGTAGTCAAAGCTCCTTTGGAGGAGGTGAGGCTTCCTGACAGCGAGGGGAAAAAAATAGAAAAAGGAGCAAATTTCAGTCTGAATTGCCTATGTGCATCAAGGACACAGCCATCTGTGCGAATAAAAGATGTGGCATTCCAATGAAGAATCAGCTTGATTACCTTGAGTACCCCCATCTGGGCTCAGTTTGGAACTCCTCACTCAGGCAAATCTCTCTGACATACGGATGGCTAGGAGCCTTGTTGAACATTTCATATAGAAACAGTCCAAGAGTTATAAAGATTTGTCCAAAAGGGGAGAGAGGCTTTGCTAATTGCAGCCCTTTTCATTTGTTTGGGAGCAGACTGCATTATGTCATACGTTATTAGCCGATAAGAATCAAACTCTGTATTCCTAGTGAATATGCCTTGCTCCCATAAAGTCTTATAAAATCAGACTGGTTGAATTCATCTCTGGGATATCTACTTTGACTTTAATACAGTTACATAAGGGATGACTCTGACCTTTCTTGTGTGAGTTGCATGACCCAAAACAAACCAACTTTTTGAATCAAGTTCTAAAGAGCAAAAGTTGTAATTCTCCTGTCTAGTGAAACTCACCAATAGGGCTTTTCCCACTTTCTCTCAAAAATCATCCTAGGACACACATTAAACAGCTTCTAATGAGGCAGTTCCCAAAAAGTTAAGTAATCTGTGACATTGTTTCTGAACAATCTCAGGATGTCTGAATGCATCCATTTGTGCATAGGATTACATAATGGGTGTTCACTGAGCTTGTCCCTCCATTTCACAGTTTCATTCAATCCCAAACTGAACGTACAAATACAGATTTGATAACGTTTCAAAGCTTTTTAAGGGCCAGACTGTGCTTAAGCTGTTAGCCACACTGGGGAGCTGAGAGGTTCCATCATAATATGAACCCCAAAGGAAATTCAAGTGGGGCTCTGGGAAAGCACATGCTGCAGCAACTCATTGCCACTCTGTTTGAAGGCACTGTGCTCTGTGCCACGCCGGGCGGGATGGTAGATGCTCTTACCATACACCCTTCTGAGGCATTAGTATTGCTGCCAGCATGAGCTGGGAGCAGTGACTTATGCTCTGGAATGGGATTAATTCTTGGCCCCTGCACTTGAGAGCAGGAAAGGATTTAGTGAGGTGGTTGGTGACCTCTTGGAATCTAGTCTGAGAGGGGTCAGTTTATTTTATGGAAGTCCAGTGTTTGACTTCGGAGAGGATGATGAACTGAGAAGATTGTATGGTATGTCCAACAACAAGAAAATTACATTGCCCAGCCATTTCCACTTCCTCTCTGCTTCTGCACAGTTTCGTATACTGGACATTACAGATCGTTCCACTATGAGAATATATAAAAGAGTGAGGCTTTTCCAGGATCTGTTTCTAGCAAAAGCCCCAGGAGCCATGATTTTATAACTTGTGATAAAAACAAAACCCATTGTTGTGGAAATATCCATGTAACCAGTTGTGTGCTAGGAAAATAGATGCCCTTCCTAATCAGCAGAGACATTAAAATGTGGCATCTTACTGGTTCCAGGATGCATTTTTAAAAGATTTCCCATCTTCCTACTTTACTAGTACACAGGATACAAAATTGCCTCTTCACTATGAAGAATGCAGTACATTTATTCTGAAGGGAAGTTTCTGAGTTTCTCTAAAGATACAATTGCTCCTTTCGTTGTTAGGATACAACCATATACAAAAGAAATATTACGTTTTAGGGATGTAAAACCCTACTTAATTAGTTAACCATTTAAATGTTACATTTAACTGTTCATGGATTAAATGGGCAGGGCGGCCCTTCAGCGCAGCTGCTTCCGTTCCAGCACAGGACTGGAAGTGGCAGCCCCATGTGCTGGGGGCCTGATGGGGCCGGAGCAGTTCTCCGCCCACATTGGGCCACATGCAGGGGGCTTCTCCCGAAAATGGGTAACCATTACCCAATAAGCATCACTCATTACCATCCCTATTATTTATGCATAATTCACTTGCACTATATGACTACTCTTTACACTTTGGGTAAGGTATCTACCCAACCCACAAGATGGTGCATCTAGGTGAATAAAAGTTCCTGGACATCATGTTCTTGTAAATGATCTTACTGGCAACTGAAGAGTAAAGATCTATCCACTACAGCACCTTTGCCAAATGACATGTGGAGTTGCACTATGGCAATAAGATATCTTGCATCACATCAGCACATATTTCTGGAGTAATTTTTTTCCCAGTTAAGGGTACTATGAAGCATACAATCAAGAGAACTGGAGTGGGAGAGCTTTTTCAGCAACAGCTATTGTAGAGTTTGGTCCAACACAAACATAAAGTGTCTTTTAGGCCCGGTTTATAGTGACAGAGAAAATCAATGCAAGATATACAACTTTAGCTATGTGAATTGCATAGCTGGAGTCAACGTACCTTGCACCGATTTTCTGGGGTGGCCCCACAGCAGGAGGTCAATGGTAAGGAGTACTGGTGCCAACGGAGGTTTTCTCAACATTCGGGCCATTACTAGACCCATTAAATCAAACCCTGGAAGATCGATTGCCATAGCATTGATCCTCTGGTAAGTGGAGACATGGCTTTAGTACCATGACTTTAAGAAAATGATCTCCCACCCCAAAGTTTTACCAACTATTTTTAGACACTGGGATTATTGTCATTGTGATTCATCCAGTAGTCACTACATGAAAGGGTTAATTGGAGTTTCTCTCATGTACTGAAGATGTTCTGGAGATTTCTCTTTAATATTGAACTGAGTGTATTTGTAACAATACTTTTCAAATTTCTAGGAAACCCCAAATGGTGAGGGGCCAGAAGTGAACTGTCCTTAGGTTAAATTGAATCTAGTTGTTGGTTTTTAATTATACCAAATGGCACTTGAGCCAGGCAAATGTGTTGCTGGATAGCTGAATAGTTTTCACTGATAAAGCTAAAAAAACCCCCAAAACTTCCACCTGCTCATTCATAAAGTACAACACACTTTGAAAAAAAGTCTAAGAACGCTGTAGGTGACTTCACAAGGACCTGCATGTGATGGAATAGTCTGGTCCCCTGTACTTTTGTGGATTAGCAGTGTACATGTCTGATTGATGCCTACAACAGGCCAAATTCAGCAGTGGCTTAAGAGCGGTGTACAAGGAACAGAAAAAAAGGTATAACTTTTTGGTACTTAGCAGGTATCCAATCTTGCCCACCACATCCTATTTCATAGCCTCATGTTAGCAATTCTTTCAGCTATACAGCTGCTCAGCTTCAGTTACGCAAATGCCAGATCAGTGTCAGTTACATTGCTTCACCACTCACACTGGATAGTAACTTACCTCCTCATGGAAGTCACTAATGAAATTGTCCAGTGTTTGCCATAAGAACTGCATATATTTATACCAAGTCTTAATTATGGCCAATAGCTCTGTTCTCAAAAATGGTGTTGGTAAGCAAATGCCACTCTAATCCATCCATAATATTAAAATCTACATTTATTATTGGAATTAATATCAATAAATCAGTCCCATAGGATCAATGTATCATGTTTTAACTTGGCATCTAAACAAAGGACCTGAGTAGCTATATATACCACAAAGATACATATTTTACATGTAACATCTTTTTAAATCAGAATTACACTATGAACTGAGATTTAATTGACTTCTGAGGAGTTAAGAAAAGGCGGTACTTGTTTGTTTTATACTACCAAAACCCTCATATTCTAATTTTTCTTTTTTTTAAAAGTATTTTTATAGCAGGGAAATAATAATTCTGCACTTTCATTCTCTCCTGCATTAGAGGTTGGTGTCCTTTTAGAAAGAAAGATTGTTTTATTTAAAAAAAAGCCCCATGATCTAGTCCACATGTTATGAATTTGACATACATTTTATTGGGTAACTAAGCACAGTCATGGCCTCCTTACCCAACAATTATTAAAATGAAAACATTAGATAATGCAATACACATTTTTTCTAACTTACTTAATAGAGAGACAATCAGAAAGACGCAAAGAATGAGATTTGAAGAGACAAATGGCAGTCAGCAATGTAAGCAATTCAATTATGCTTTGTGCCAGGGGGCTGACTGAATTTACCTGTATACTGTAAATGCTAGCTAGTGCAGACTATGTACTAGCATCAGAAGAAACAATTTCCAATTTATGCTCTGGATAATGAGTGCATCCCATTTTAATTTTTCCTGATAAATTGGCTACCATTAGAACCAAATAAACTAATACATAAAGTCAATAACAAAATGCCAGTCTATAACTTATTACTATAAAGATTTATCAAATAGTATTAATTATTTACAGAGACTAAACCACAGATCATTGTCAATGTGAAAATAAACATTCACTTAATGTATACATAGACAACAACAACAACAAAAAAAATGGCTATGCACTGGTGCATTTAGCTTCCCTTAAAGTAGCTTCCCTTCAATTAAGGTAAGAAGTCACATTATGTTTTCAGGTAAGCAGCCATCTTAAACACCCACAAAACAGAGACTGTGTTAACCTGAGGAAGACAGGAAGGTTACAGGGGTATGATACAAAACTCAAAAATCAGGTAGTGAAGGTAACATATTAGATCTGATGACTACTCCCTGTCCTTCCAACAAATTAAAAAAAGAGTCAGGAAATTCAGTTTTGAAACTAAACGCCTTTCATACCCTGTTGTTCCTAGGTATTACAGCATCATCACATGGAAAATCAACGTCTGTTCAAAGACCTTTGCAATACAAAGAATGTCTGACAGAATTTCAGCCTGAATTTCCAACCTTCTATTAAGTGTTTACGTGGTTAAAGTATATGTCTCCTATTTTCCTTGGTTTTATGGTAATAATTAAGTTTCTAAAAATAATGAACATTGCCCTTAATTTCTCAAATTGTCTGTTCATTCCAAAACATTTGCACAATACGCAACTCACCAAAAGAACTCTATGTAATGTGTCGTTAGAGGGTTCTTACAATATCTAGGACTAATTAGGGATACTTCAATTTGCAGATTATTGCCCTGTTGATGTGCTGTGGCAGTGTGGGTACCAAGGGATGTGTACTGGTTCCAAGTTTTAGAAATCTGGGTAACAAGCAGTTATTATAGATGTGCACATTTGCTTTTCTAAATCAAATCACTGGTCATTTTATTTTTCCACACAGAGAAAAGGTGATTAGCTCACATTATGCATTAATCACATGCAACATTTGATATGACAAAATGACCCTATACTGTATCTAAAGATAGAAATCTTCTTTTGCAGCACTATCATAAAATACATTTGGACAGCTATAAACTAAATGGTTTGAACCAAATTATGTTAACATCTAACCTGTTTTACATTTTATGGCATAAGTATGAATATTTGTTGATACAAATAATGCCCAAACTGCAAAACCTTAAGTACAGCAGCATTGGCATGTGATGGTTATAACAAACACTGAGCGACAGAATGCAGGGGGTCTTAATTCTGCTCTCTGTATGTTAGTATGCAGCATCCCACAAAGGGCCCAATCCTGCAAGGATCAGAGCAAGCTCAGCTCCAGGATTATACTAAATGTATGGTGACATGCACCCTTGAGTAAAAGGACTAAGTGACTTCAGTCCAGGTCTTGGTGATTTATGCAATTGGCAGCACTTACCTAGATTACAAACAAATTACCTAAACCAGCTATTTGATACTTCTGGGTTTTTTTTATGCACAAAGTCTCTACTGGGGGGGGGTATCAATTCAAAACAGAAAAGGAATTGATAACATAATGAAAAGCACCCAAGCATTCACCCATATTTAAGAGAAAAAGTCCATTTTATATTTAAATTAAATGAAAACTTGTTTTCCATTTAGACAACATTTTCTAACAGACACAGTGTTAAACTATAATTGGAATGAGAAAACAATCAACACAATGCAAGTAAATTAAATAATTGGTTTCAATATTTGCTTTGCAACCTCTTCCTGTGACCTCTGTCAATAAGTGAGTTACCCCACCTTAGTTAAATGCCTTCCATGCTGAAAAAGATTCAGTTTTGACATAGTTATTTCGATGACAACAATAATCAAGTATAATGCATGATGAGTAAATCAAGTGATATCTGTCCATCAATGATTTAAGTTTTACAACCTAAGTATCTAACTTTATAGCAAAAACTATTTCCCTTATGTGCTCATCCAAAGCATGTAGTAATGTTCTTTTGATATAGTAAAAGATTTTAATATATTCTGATTTTTTTCCAAATTCCATTGAACGGACTTTCCTTTCCAAAGCGCTTTAATTTGAAGATTTGCTGAGTGCACTAGCAGAGCGACGAAGTTTTGCAGAGGCTTTGTTTTTCGTGGCATGGGGTAGTGTTGGAGAGGTCTGCTCTGCTAACTGCATTCCCGTGGTTATAGTAAGATCAGCACTTGCACTCGTAGTGAGACTGCCTTGAAAAGCAAGTGGGCAAAGAAAATAAAAATTATTATTAAAAAAATAGAATGTATCCAATGACTTTATAAGATACAAAAAAGAAACACAATTAAGTGGAGAGGAGATGCTTTAGGGAGGTGCTTGTTCCAATGAACGTAAGGGTCCAGAAGAATGAGCTTTTTAGTACATGGTAAGGAGGCCGCTTCTAGAGCAAATGACAAAGGGCTAAGTTGTGACATGCACTAAGTGCCCATGCAGGAGAGTATGAACCTTGTTCACATCGCTCTGAGGTATCCACCATGGGTTGAGACAGAGTGCAGAAATGAGCAGATGCTGTCTGTGCCACCTCACAGCAGGTGTGGGAGGAGGGGTGGAGGAGTGGGTAGCGTCTTGGCTCCACTCTCTCAAAGTGCTGGCCAATTCAGGTGAGCTGGCACAGAGGGTGCTGTAAATTACTACTGCCCCCCTAAAGCAAGGAGGAACCAGGGAAGGAACTGTGGCTCAGAGGGATGTTTCTGAGTAAGTGTCCCCGGGGGCTACTTCTAGGTTGGTGCTTAAAGGTACAATCTTAGTTTAAATCTCCCTCTTGCAAATGTAGGATTAAAGTGTTATCTTTGTTGTGTTTCCCCGAATGGCTCTATGGTATTTCATTTCTCTGTTTCTGAGGACTGAACAATAGCTTGCGTAGTATTAATATTTCTGTTCAAACTACACCAGTGATGTGCCTTAATTGCTGATGCTGAAGAGAAAAAAAAGCAACATTTTTTTTAAACAAGAAAGCAGTAAATGAAATCACCATAATTTCTGTTTTAGGCAAGAAGGCTATTTAAGAACTTTATGCAAAGCTTAGCAAATCCCAGTTGGCTGTCTTATACTCCATATGTATTTACACACTTATTTTACACATTTAAGTTACAACTCATTTATTCCCAAAAGGTGATTACAACTAGAGGTCAGGACTAAATGGCTTGTGTGAATGAGAACAGATGAGGACACAGCTATTAAATTCAAAAGTAAATGAATAAAATTAAAGCATGTGTGCAACTCTCGTCTTTCCCCAGTGCAATTATAATCATGCTCTGAGGAATACAAAAATGCATGCTGCAACACAGCTCTGTTGTTGCTACTGTCGTTTTGACTTGTCCCAGGATACTTCTGTAAGCGCGAATGCCATTTCATCAGCTCTCTCTTGGTGCAATATTTTTAAACAATGGTATAGCTCTCCCTTTAAATCTTCAATATAAATATTTTTATTAGAGATGGGATTGAAGCAAAGCCCCATATCCAAACACCTCCAAACCTTTTGGGAGGGAGAAGGAAGATTCAGAATTCAAACTCAAATCTAGATCTACATTTCACAGTTGGCTTCTATGTCTATAAAGGGCTGAACTTTCACAAACTTCAGATCTAGAGCTACATTTTACAATGTAAACATATCTCTAATGTATCAATATACTATATTTTCAGATCACTCCTGTACCTAGATTTAATGTACCGTACTTGTGTTAAGATAATGCTTTACATATTTATAGCACCTTGTACACTGAGCAGTCCCCAAACCCTGCAGATACTGTGCACAAACACTGCCATTGAAATGCATCCACTTCTGAATTATATTTGCAGTGGAAGATGGCAACCAACTGGTTGAATAGCATGCTACACAACAGTGGGAATAATTGACTGAAAAACCATGAAGTAAATTGTGCCCTCATGAAAATTGCCAGGAAATCTTTCATGTCCAAGAAAAGAAGACAGGACATCAATTAGAAAGGTTTTAACTGAAAGATTCCATTTGCTTTCGAAGGACAAAGGACTCAGTTGATTCTGCTGGGATTTGAACATGTGCTTCTAGGTATTTTAAACCTGATGCTTAGGGACACTAAACTACCTCTTCCTTTCCCTTCTTGTACTGACCATAAAGCCAATGAGCCAGAGCCCCCACATACTATGGATGCATAAAGGAGCTGTAAACCCCATCTAATGGGTGTTTCGCTTTGCTGGAGCAGTGGAAAGTAGCCGCAGCACAAGGATGAAGCTAGCCCAGTATGTTTCTAAAGCATTTTCATTTGAATCCTTCTTTCCTAATGCCTGACAGAAGGGACCCATTCTAATGTTTGCAGCTGGCATTCTAACCAAGACTATAGCTTTAGCTCCTCCCTGAAGGGCTTAAGATGTTTTACAGAAAATATATTTCATAAAAGTGTAAATTTAGGAGACATTCTCACAAATCAATTACACAAAAAGCAACTCCTACTGGGGTAGCTGCAAGCAATCCTGGTTTATCTTCTGAATGCTTCTTGAAATTCAGCTGTACCACTGTGAGCTAGATGTCTGCATTAATCTTACTTCTCAGAAACAAAGTCTGGAAATTCAATTGTTCATTTCCTTATTACAAGGTTTAAAACAAAGCACTCATTACAAGGGTGAAACTTGTAATCATTAAATGCAACTACATTAGTAAATATCATAGTAGCGCATGAAAAAACAAAAGAAAGGATGATTTAGTTCCTGTCAATCTGAAAACCTTACTGTTCATTTGAAAATCTTATACTACTTAACAAACCTTGTACTCACATTTCAAATTATACTTTTACTTACCAGTTTTATATTTTAAGTCAACTGTTTGGAGCAGAAAAAAGCACTTCCAAATAAATGAAAAATGTGATTTAATATGCAAAGACACTGTCTATGAAAAATGTGGGCCTATTAGTTTGGGCTTAGAACTGGAAAATTGCTGTGTTTTCTCTAAGAAAGAAAGCAGGGAGGAGGAGGAGGAGGAGGGAAGAGGGAGGTGCTGTATTTTACATTCCTGCAGCTAAGCAGAATGGCAGATGGTCAAAATAATACAATTTTCACTGAACGGGCAAGCTCAAGCAATATTCATGCAGGCTCTCAACAATACAGCTCCTGCGCATAGAAAAGCAGTGCAGTTCAAACAGTGTGTAAGAAGGAACAGCCACACCTAAGCATTTAGAATCATCCCCAGCATTCCATTAGCCTTTACAGTTTGTACATTCCATCAGTCAAAACTTTCTTCTGGCGAGTCCTTAACTATGCAATCAACCTTGAAGTTCCCTTTAAACTGTCTTGATTGATAGGGAGACAGCAGCTGCAGAATGAGCAAGTAATAACCACAAAAGATAAAGGCTTTCATACAAATATTATAATTCCACTTGCAAGCTGTCTGGCACGAACTCAAATTACTTGGCCTTCTTGCAATGGAAGTCTGGAACCGTATTCAGCTAACATACTCTAGCCCACGTAACTAAGTGCCACTTTAGTGAAAGGAAACAGGACAATACACACACAGAGAAAATACACAATACATTTATATAAAGTTACAATGTTTGTGAGCGATTTAAAGATTTTCTAACCGCCCAAAGGAGATTTATCTCAATCTATATTCTAAAAATGTGATTTGGGGAGGAACAGGCTGCACAATATTTATAACTCCTTAAAGCAATTATAAAAGTGGTGGGGTAAAGTCTATCATTAAATAATGAACGTTAGTGTCTGAGATTATGATTTACAATTGCCTCTGTTTTTGCCTTCTAACATACACAATTCAAACACACTCCTACCAAAGAATATTCTAAGCCCATTCATCAGTCCACCAAGCTTCTATTTTGACAGGTTATTTTTTAAAGGCTCTCGGAGTTGCATCCGTGAATCAGGATTGAAGGAGTTAATTCAGTGCTTCAAGCACTCTTTGCCTAAGCCCAGCCTACCACTGAGCATATCCAGCCAGCATGCTGCTGTCAGGCTGCTTCCTTCCATCCGATCAGCGCATTGGAAATTGCCCAGACAAACAAGCAGAACGGAGGAGCCTGCAAAGGTCACACCTGGCGTGTGGCCAGCCGGCCTGCTCTCCGGGTCCTAAACCACACCCCCAATCGTCAGGTTCAGGGCACTCTGTGTTTCCCCTCTTTTGTCTTCTTTTCCTCCCCCAGCTGTTCCATTCAGAGGCCCAAGTTCAGCAATCTGCCCTCCCCAGAAAGGGAGGCCCTTATTAAGCTGAGCTAACTCAAAGGGCCAGCACAGCACGTGCCGCTCCTTATCGGCCCCATCTCAAGATCCTATTCCATGGTGCTTAGCCAACAAAAAAGTAAATGGACTTAACTCCCATTGGCTCCCCTGCAGCAATTCAAACAAAAGTGCAAAGCAACAAAGACATTTTCCACTATGGCAGGTGTTGGTGTCAGATTCTGCCTGCAGCAAACAGGAGCAGAAGAAAGAGAATGAAAGAAAAAGAAAGAAAGAAAAGTACGTGCTTCTCAGACATGCAGGGGGATGCCAGGCAGCCCAGCCCTCAGAGCAGCTACTCAGAGGTGGGCATAGTCAGGGTCGCTCTTTTCCTGCATACAGCATAGAACTCATGGTTTGGGGAAAGAGAGAGAGAGAGAGACCTGGCCTGAAGGGACTGCAAGAGAAAGAGAGACCCCCACACAAAGCAAGTGTTGTTTCGGCTTTAAATTAGCAATATAAAGAAGGAAGCCAGTTAGTAAATCAAGTGATGCCAGTGCTGTAGCCTGCTCGAGGTGTCACTCTTACCTTTCTCAATTACCGTAATGAGACCTTTACATATTTTAATCTAAAGGGAAAAAAACACAAAGTCATATAAATAAAGAAACAGCACACCTAATACACTTGTATGAGGCTCGCAGGTCTTGTTTACACCCATTTAGTTGGGCAAGAACACGTAATTGTGCATCTTAACACAAACAAAACTTTCAGAAAGTAAAGTTCACATTCGTGTCATTATCTGGCGAGTTGTATGTGGGACCAGTACACCCACACGTCTCTCCAATGTTGGTTGAAACATGGAGAAAAAACATGAATACACAATCATTTCCATCCCACTTAGGGCATATTACATGCACATTGCTATGAAATTATAGAAATGATAGTGCTCTATTATTGCAATTGCATATCCAGCACAGTTAGTGTCTGTATAATTTCCAACAGCTGTAAACTCTGAAGTTTAATAAAGATTGAAATCGCTTTTAACTGCTGGTCA